ATTTAAAGAGGTGTGTGGCGCCCTCTGTTGAATTGAGCGGACCAAAGAAAGCAACCCATTTTCCCCAATCTACAAAGCTGCACATATACGATGGCCTCCATTTTATTCAGAAGGATTATTTCTTTCCCCCTGGCTTGCTGCTCTTTGTGCTACCCTGGAACTTGCCTTCTGTTTGCTGTGGGGAAGGGAAATGCATTGTAAGATTTAGCTTTCCCCATTAACTTGACAGACTGTGCTTGTAAAAGATCAGCAGGAGGAAGAAAGGGGAAAGATGCAGAGAATCTCTCTTCTTTGGGGAGAGGCTGGGCCTGGTCTAAAGGCTCTCTCTAACTTGCTTCCGTTTTCCAAGATACTTGAATTTTCAGAGAAGCAGGCAAAAGGAGACAGAGGTTTTCAATGTGCAATTGAAGAGAGCAGGAACAGGGGCTTGCAAGGGGGGTTACTCTACATTGAGCTGCATGCCAAGAGGCTGGAGTGAGGAGTGGGGGCTGTCTAGCAAGTAGTCGGCTATGTCCAGTTCACTTCTAAATTCACAGGAAAAGGCCCAACAGTTGTTGTCTGATCCCTGTGGCCTGTAGGCTGTTTCTCTCTCTAAGCCACATACTGATACATTAGAATCTGCCTCAGAGGCCTTTTCTGCTTGCTGTCACTAGGTCTGTTGCTACTCCCTTGGGGTAATCCAAAGTCTGAGAGCGTGCAAGGAAAGGGTATGTGTGTATGCATGTGAGGCGGTGTGCCCTTTCTTTGCATCGTTAGTGTCTTTACCTTTTCACTACACTTTCTGATGGTGGATGTGAGCTCACTCACTACCATATCCACACACTTCAGACTTGGCTCCTTCAACTTCTGCACCTGCTTTTTCACTATGGCTTCAAAAGCGAGGTCAGGCGTGAAGAGACCCGTTCTGCACAGCAAGGAGCAGGGATGAAAGAAGCAACAAGGAAGAAAGGAGAGCGAAGCAGTGTCAGAGAGAGACAGGGAACAGGAAGGGAAAGAGAGAGAGGAAAGGGAAAAAAAAAAGAGAGAAGAGAAAAAACACAAGGCAAAATGAGAAGTGAGATTTTGGTTCACTCTACAGGTTAATTGAACCAGGTGAGCATCGCTGCAGGGCCCATGTGCTGCCAAGTATTGGGGGATTCTTTTGGCAGATGGAAATGGCAGTGAGAAGGAACAGACAGGGCAGGTGAAAGCATGAGGTATAGAGATCAACAAGATGGATGGATGGATGCATGCATCCAGGCTCTCTCTCAGAGCAAACCTCTGCAGGCAATGCAGGCTGGACACGCTGAGGCTCTGACAGTCTTCCCTGAGCCTCACCTTGGTATCATTTCCCTCTGCTGTTACCCACCAGCTTTATCCCTTTCTCTCATGCCTCCTTCCCAAGCTGTTCCATCCATAGTTGGACTGAAGAGGGGCTCTGCCATGTTTCACAGAACTGCATCACTCAAGTTTTGGCATTGCAAAACAAAGGGAGATCTGGTCTGGCCTCCTTATTCAGAGGTCAAAGTGTTCAGATTAACACGTCCAGTTATGGCCTAGCTTGTCCTGTTCATTCTCTTACCGAGCACAGGGAGGGTGGGTGGTCTGTGGGATTTGGGGAACAATTAAGAAGGGGAGAGGGATTTCCTAGAGGACAACCCAAAACATCTCTCCAATACCAGATGAGCTACAGATGCTGCATTCAGATGGACTGAGTCCCAGTGTTCAGCCTTTGTAAGAAAAAAAGCTGTGTAACAACTACTATAAGAACATTTCCATCATTTTTTAAATCCCAGTGAATGCCGCTTCCCCTTCCTAGCTTTACAGACTGCTTCCCCTTTCAAATAGCATAACAAGCAATTTACATGGAGCAACCAGCAAAAGCATGTAGAAACCAAACTAAAAATCAGCCAGTCTATTTTCAGTGTCTCTGCCAGGAGAAACACAATGATCAGAAAGAGTACAGAGTAAATTAAGAATATTGAAATCTAAGCAGGATTAACCAAAATTTCAGGGCTAGGAACCATACACAGAGGAAACTTGTTTTTGAATAATATATTAGAGTCCTTAACCTGAAGGTACCCTTTTAAAGCTGATTTCTGCCAAACAAATACTCTTTGTGCTGCACCAGCACTTAATGTTGCACTGACCCCCAATGGTTGGGGCTGACAGTGCCTGCTGCTAAGGATTTCCTGTGCGTTTCCAAAAGATGCCGTCCTAGGACATTCTTCCCGTCACAGATGCTAAAATTAGTTCAGCTGGGGCAGGTGAACCAATCCTGGGCTAGATTCAGAGCTAGTGGAAATAAACACAGCTTTGTTTAAATCACAGAAATGTGCTGATTTATACCAATATGGAGTGGGCACCTCATATTTAAGATGGAAATACCCAGAAACACTCTACCACCTTGGGCAAAGCACCCTCTGCTTTGCATTACACCACTTGCAGGTAATCAGAAAGGTTTCTGTGTTCGAGCAGCAACAGTGAATGTTGGGCTCTGTAGTTTCAGTAGGAAGCATCACTACAGAAGTGCATTCAGCAGGCTCAGGCATGTTGCCAGTGAGGCTTTGGGTTTTTTTGGGCAAAACACACATGCCCCTGTTAATTGGCACCTATGCATCTTAGAAGCAGTGTCCCAGGCTCACTGCCCACACATGAATCCAGCCTGTTTGCTAAGTTCAACACAGCCTGTTCAGGTGTCCCATACAATATCCAAGTCAGGCTGTATGAATGGCACCCAGAGGGACCCTCACACAAAACATCTGTTTAGATACCTGAACAATGTGTTAATAGCACTTGTGTTTCTTTAAAATAAAAAAGTTGTCAGCACTCACATTGCCATGGGCACGCGCACACACACACACACACACACACACACACA